CAAGTTGTGCCAAGAAATCTGGAGAACGACCACTTGGCCAACTGACTGGAAGAGATCCATATTTGTTCCTATGCCAAAGAAAGGCGACCCAACCGAATGTGGAAACTACAGAACAATTTCACTGATTCCACATGCAAGCAAGATTTTACTGAAGATTATCCAAAAACGACTGGAGCAGCACATGAACAGAGTATGATGCAGTGCTGGCAGTTGTAGATATCTATGAAACTCACAGCCTTAATCAAGAGAGAAAACATGTCCATTATTTTGGAAATTTTCCCACTGCCCCATCTAAGACATTAAAAGAGTATATACTTGTTTGTATCTACCTACTTTGTTCCAATGCCCACCTTTCATATGAAACAATTGAAAATACCATGGCTTGGATCATGTGTACCATAGTCTTTAAATTGACATCTTTACTCTTTAGCACTTTAAAGAAGTCCTTGACAGCAGATTTTCCCAGTGCAACACATCTTTTTATTTCTTTGTTGCTTTTGCCATTGGTTTTGACTGTGGATTCAAGTAAAGTGAAGTCGCTGACAACTTCAATTTTTCTCTATCTAGTAATGTTTCCTGTTTTTCCAATGGTGAGGATTTTTGTTTTGAGATGTAATCCATATTGAAGGCTGTATACCTTGATCCTCTACAGCAAGTACTTGATGTCCTCTTCATTGTCTACAAGCAAGGTTGAACCATCTACTTAACTCGGGTTGTTGATAATTCTTCCTCCAATCCTATTGCCATATTCTTCTTCATTATAGTCCAGCTTCTCAAATTATTTCCTCAGCATAGAGATTGAATGGGTATGAAGAAAGGATCTAGGCCTGAAACTCACCTTTCCTGATTTTAAACCATGCAATTTCCACTTGTTCTGTTCACGCAAATGTTTTTTGGCCTATGAATAAGGAACGTTGAAAAACAATCAACACCTTTTAATTGTGAAGCTGGCAAGCATATTGAATATATCATGTACTGCCAAAAAAACAAATCTGTCTTGGATGAAGTATAATCATGGTGCTCCTTAGAGGCAAGGCTGGTAAAATTTTGTCTCATACTTTGGCCATATTATCGGGAGCATCTAGAGCTTGGAAAAAGATACCATGCTGGGAAAGGCAGAAGATTGATGAAAGAGAAGACACTCAAGAAGATGAATTAAAGTGACTATTAAAATGGGCTCAAGCATGTTGGAGATTATGAGGACAATACTGGATACAGCAAAGTTCTAATCTGTTGCCAAAGGGTTATTAGAGTTGTAGCTGTGTGAAAATGTATTTAGACAGCATCTAATAACATTAACAACATTTTTGCTCATCATGTTGTCTGTAAAATGAAATATTGTTCCATGTATTTGTGATTAGTTACTTCTTATTGTTGCCTAGTATTGCTTTGTTTCCATAATATTTCATTTTTGTATAGCAGGCTTTTCCCATTTTCCTAGGTATGCATCACAATATAAATAATTGAAGCTAAGCATAGCTTCCAAAAGGGAAAAATCCTCCATTATTACCTGGTGCTGCACAGGGGAGTAGTGGAATGGACATCCAGCTGAAGGAGAGTTGAATGCTTTGTGTGCAAAATTTTACTCATTTCTCTATATTCTACATTTTGCTTTTTCCTATCAGAGAAGTTGGAATAATTTAGATATTATTACTTTTTCCTATTAAGATGGTATTAAATTCTTGATATTTTGTTTCCCACTTTAGATTCCCCCCACTCCCAAAAAGATAATTCCTTTTTCTTTCTTTTTTTTTTTTTACAGGTTTTGCACTCCTGGGAGGACACCCTTGTTTCCTTACCACACAAGATATTCATTTGGGTGTAAATGAAAGTCTCACTGACACAGCCCGGTTTGTAAATCTTTCTTCATTCCAGATCTTGATTCAGAATCTGGGGGGTGATTAAATTGTGAATGCTTCTCTTTAAGTTATGGTTTTCCTCCTCCGTACACTTCGTACCATTCTCATATCTCTCTATTGCTCTTGTTATTTGATATTCTGATTTTCTCTTCCTCATCCTCTAGCCTCTTTTACTAGACTAACCTAATATTTTTTTCTCCTAGTAGCAACTTTAAGTATCAGTCTCAACTCTTATACCCAAGAGTTCCTTATCTGCTCAAGGTTCTGTTATAAAATTATGAATTTAGATATACTTAAGAGAGCTCTTGTGGCATAGTTCATAGGGAGTTGGGCTACTAAATCAAAGACTACGTCTCTTTGGAGGTTCAAATCTACCAGCATCTCCATGGGAGAAATACAGACAATCTCCTCCAATATGATTTTTAGCCCCAGAAAACTAATGACGTTTCAGCTGTGAGTCAGTTCTGACTCAATTGCAATGACTTTGACTTTTGACTACATAATCTCATGCAAAATTGACATTCTTTACTTGAGGAAATAGAGGTCTTAGGAAATTTACTTCTATGATAGCTTATAACTTGTTAGTTATAATAGTGTAATAATCTTAATAGCCAACATTATGGGTTGTTTAATACATTATAGATATTGTTACAAGTGATTTACCACCTGAATCCTTATAAAAATTCAACCAGTTTGGCGCAATAAGGTAACATATAAAGAAAGCTTATTTGCTGCTATAACACAAAATCTCAAAATGTCAATAGCTTAACAAAATGCTCCAGGTTGGTGAAAGGCAGAGATTGAAAATGTATGGGGTAGTTTAGGGACTCTACCCAATAGTGGCTCTGCTATCTTAACATGTGACCTCTAAGGTTGCCTTGGGTACCAGCATCCAGCCAGGATCTAGGTGATGAGAACACAGAAATGGCATACCAGTTTCAGAGCCACCCTAGCATGGAGGTAGCACACATCAGTTCCACTCACATTTCATTGCCATGAACTAGTCACTTAATCCTAGCTAGGTAAAAGGAGAGGTGGGAAAAAGCTCTTAACTACTATATAAAAGACTAAAGCATAGGCTTCTGGGTTCGTCATGCAATGCTCCCATCAGTGTCATATCTTGATGACAAAGTGAAAGCAAATGCCTTTGTTAGATATTTTGCCCTGAGTAAAACTAATGATGTTGTTGTTGTTGTTGTTATGTGCTGCCGAGTCTTTTGCGACTCATAGCGACCCTATGTACAACAGCCCTAAACCCTGCTGTATCCTGTGCCAATCTCATTGCCTCTGACACACCCATCCCGATTACCCCAGTCACTGAATCAATCCACTTCATAGAGGGTCTTCCCCTCCTGCGCTGTCCCTCTACTCTACCCAGCATGATGTCCCTCTCCAAAGACCTGTCTCTCCTTACAACATGTCCAAAGTATGTCAGGCGAAGCCCCAGAATCCTTGCCTCCAAGGAGCAGCCTGGTTTAACCCTCTCTAGGATGAATCTATTTGTTTTCTTGGCAGTCCATGGTACAGTCAGTACTCTTCTCCAGCACCACAGCTCAAAGGCGTCAATTCTCCTTCTATCCTCCCTAGTCATTGTCCAACTCTCTTATCCATAACAAGTGATTGCAAAAACCATGGCCTGTATCAGGCGCACCTTAGTCTCCAGAGAGACACCGTTGCTCTTGAGCACTTTAGAGAGGTCCCTAACCGCAGACTTTCCCATCGCAATATATTTTTTATTTCCTGGCTACTGGTGCCAAGAGTGTTGACCGGGGAGCCGAGCAAACTGAAGCTGTGAACAATCTCAATCTCTTCGCCATCCATCCTGATGCTACTGATTGGTCCAGTGGTGAGAATCTTTGTCTTCTTGACATTGAGCCTCAGTCCATATTGAAGGCTGCAGTCCTTGACCCTCTGCAGTAATTGCATGAGGTCCTCCTCAGTTTCAGCAAGCAGCGTTGTATCATCTGCATAACTAATGACTATATTTTTATAAAATGTTATACCATAAAGTAGCTCCTTGCAGACACTGCTTTTCATAAAAGCCACCCTAGTATGTATTAAAAATGCACTTCATTTGGTTTACTGAAGAAATCTCAAATAATGTGTCCTTAACCCTTTTAGTTATGGTATTTCAGATGGGATAATGTTAGCTTTAAGCAAAAGTGCCATGTTCATTTTCTGCATGCAAAGGACAAGAGTAGTCAGCAAACATACATGAACTTTTCTTTCATATATGCTGTTACTGACTAGGATTATGTTTATATAGTAATTCTGTTTCCATAAACATGAAATATACTTTATTGAAGACCAAATAGTACAAACCTAGCTATGGGAGCTCTGGTGGCCTAGTCCGCTGCTAACCCAAAGGCAGTGCCTCTCTGGTGGTTCAAATCCACCAGCAGCTCTGAAAGTGCAATATGGACAATCTTTTCCTTTGCAATAGGCAGACTCTTGAAAACTTGCTGGAGGGCCAGCTATGCCTCAGCTCTAACTTGATGGCTGTGAAGGAGGTTTTTTGAGTGAGCTAAGGGATGAAACTGAAGGCTTTTCAAGGGATGTTATTTCAGAAGTGAATGGCTAATCCTTTTCCCTAGTTTGTCTTAATTAAAGCTCTGCTTTAGTATAGCAACTGATAAGCATTGTACCCAAAAGAGCAGATGATAAGAAAGCAAACATAAACATATTTAAGTTTTTAAGAGCAAAAACATGCAAAAACACTTCCAAAGTACAAGAAACCAAGGAATAAATGACTATTCCCCTATAAGTAAACCATAGGACAAGCAAACATACAGATATAATGGACAGCAGGGGCTCCCACATCAAGGCTGCAACACCTTCAATATGGATTACATCTCAATATCAAGAAGACAAAAAAAATTCTCACCACTGGGCCAATAAAAATGATAGATTTTTTAAAAAGGATCAAAGTTGTTAACAGTTTTATTTTGCTCGGATCCACAGTAAGCATCCAAAGGACAAGTTGCACTGGGAAAATTTGCTGCTAGAATTTCTCCAGATTTCTAAAGAGTAATGATGTCGGTATAAAGACTAAAGTGTGTCTGATTCAAACCATGGGCTTTCAAATCACTTGCTATGCATCAGAGAGCTGAACAATGACTGAGAATGAGAAGAGGAACCAATGCCTTTGAGTTGTGGTTCTGGAGAAGAGCATTGAATATGCCACTGACTGTCAAGAGAATAAATAGGTCTATCTTGGAGAAAGTGAAATCAGGTAAAGTTGAAAGATAAAATATAGATAAACTTAAAATTAAAAGCACATTTTTTTTAAAAGAAAAGACAACCTTACTGGGCTTTTTTTTTCCTTTTAAAAAGCTCCATAGTTTTATTTGTGCGAATATCACAGGATAATGAGCCTTGAGGCTAGGAATAGTTAAAGAGGAAGAGGAGAAAAATTTTGGTGTACAGAAAGAATAAAGATAGTGTAATAGGCGAAGATGTGGGATGTTATTAATGAGGGGGAGAGTAACTACTGTGAAAAATCCGACTTTCTCCGGTACACCACATTACTGTTTAATCTTCCAAAATCTCTGACAAACAAGATATGACTGAGATTCAGAAATTCAGTAAACCTAAATTGGAGAAGACAAGAGAAATCTACTGCCTTCTACAGAAGCTATTGACCAGGAGAAGCAAGGAGGTGAATCTTAATATGTATCCTGTCAATGTATACCATACAATCCATAGTAATTACCTTGTTAGGTTTTTGCAGAAGTTTAACTTTGTAAGATGCAATAAGACCAGATAACATTTAAATGACAAATCAAGGCACCAGACACTGATTGAAGATGCTGCTTCTCTAAATGATTGTCTGACTGTTTGGGGGACCTGCTAGAATAAAAAATGGATGCAGGTTAGTAAAAGAGAAACCTGAGGGGGAATAAAGTAAATGTAGGGGGAAAGGGGGGAAAGAAGAAAAGGAAACTGTAGTTAGGAAGTTTTCATTGAAGTGTCACTTACTTGTTCAAATGGTTTAATTGGTATGTAAGCACTACGAATACAATGTTGATAAGGCAAAAAAAGATCCTGTTCCAATAGAAACTATATTCTAGGGTAGAGACATGTTCACTAAACAATAACTAAAGGTCAGAGACATGTTCACTAAACAATAACTAAAGCATAAGGGTTAGGCAAAAACAAGTGCTATGATGAAGCTAAAACAGGATGAGCTGTTTATGGGGATGGAGACCATTTTAGCCTGGTATGGAAGCAACTTTAAAAAGGCTGAGGATCAGGAAAGATCTTTCTGAAGAGATGGAGTGACATTGCAAAGTCAGAAAAAAGACCAAGTTATGCCATTATGCAGGTGCCATCATGTTGGCACAATGGAACCCTGCCAAGTCAGATACTATCCCTTACAATCTCCACTGTGCTTATGCCAATTGTAGGCATTGTGCCAACTCATCTTGTTGAAGGTCTTCCTCTCTTTTGCTGACTCTCTATTTTTCTAAGTATGATGTCTTTTTCCAAGGACTAGTATATCCTAATAAAAACATAACCAGAATATGTGAGATGAAGTCTCATCTTTGCTTTTGAGTAGCATTTTGGCTTCAGTTCTTCCAAAGCAGATTTGTTTGTTCTTTAGGCAGCCCATGGTATATTCAATATTCTTCATCCACATCACAATTCAAAGACATCTATTCTTCCTGGATCTTCCTTACTCATTCTCCATCTTTCATATGCATGTGAAACAATTGAAAAATACATGGCATGGGTCAGGTATACCTTAGTGGTTAAAGTGACATCCTTGCTTTTGAACACTTTAAAGAGGTCTTTTACAGCAGATTTTCCCAATGTGACATGCCTTTGTTTTCTTTACTGCTGCTTCTGTGGGTGTTGATTGTAGATCCCAGTAAAATGACATTATTGACAACTTCAATCCTTTCTTCATTTATCTTAATAGTTTTTACCAATCTGGTTCTGAAATTTTTGTTTTCTTTACACTAAAGTGTAGTCCATACTGAGGATTGTAG